AAATCTCTAAAAACGGGGACAACGGAGCTGATCCAGATTTGCGTCCGATATGACGTAATATCGGAAATGTGGACCCGTACGGCACTATCAGAAAGTTTCTATCAGAAACAATGCCCTGTTTTGGACGTAATATGGTCGGTGTTTACTTTAGCATCGCTAACATTCAGAGCTAACCTGTACTGGATAGCATGTGTGTGAAGAAGCAGGAAATAAAAAGAAATTCACCTTGTGGTATAACCGGCAAGAGAGAAAGCCTTTGAGCTCCATACTGTTTCAGAAATAATCCTTGATAATCCATGATATGGCGTTTCATCACGGCAGTATTTAGTTTAGACAGTAGCTGCCGGGTCCCGCATGAGCTCAGACCCCTCCTTTTTTTTTTTTAAAGCTTTATACCCCAAATCAGCACTTTTGAAACAGGAAGTGAAATAGAGGGATATGAGGCATGGCTAGAATGGGTGATCTGTTTGGTATTTTGAGCAAAACGGTTCATAGACATGTTTTTTATATATTTGTATATATCTGAGACCTATGCTATTGCCTAAAAATAGCATGATAGGTGACCTTTAATATTACCCAACATCGTATTAAGATCCATGTGTTGTATACACTGGAATCTATTTACTGCAGCCCCAGTTGCTCACATTTTACACACATCTCTAGCAAGTCAATGTCAAAAACATCACCTGCCACTTTTTTCATGTGACAGTATAAACAAAAAGCAAAACACTGAGAAAAGTATGCTGGTATTACTAACTTTACAGCAAAAAGGAAATATGAAGCCCCAGCATCTCCTGAACCTGGAAAGCACCAACACCCACCCTTCACCGATCTGTATAGGACACACACACACACACACACACACACACACACACACACACACACACACACACACACACACACACACACACACACACACACACACACACACACACACACACCGCTGCAGCAACCTGCACGCTAGTGACCCACTTTCAGACCAGCTAAAGTTAGACCAACTGTTGGTCTTGCCACGTATCTAAAAGGTCAAATCTTGCTACTGAGTCATTCTTAAAACACAGAGAAACTTAGAATATAAAGTCAGTTGCAAATTGACTAGTTAATTATCTCTCCCTGTCAGACGTTTTACATGATTGTGTTTTAACTGAATACTATTAATGTGCTTAACCTGTATTTAAATCAGTTTTTTTAGTCATACCTCCATCAAACTATCAATCAGACTTGAACACTATACAAGTTTATAACACTTATGATTTACACTGCTCTTGCATATTGTATAGGCTACTTTACCGCCTACAATAGATGTAATTGTTCTACACTTGTGTGTTCTGACTGGGTACAGACAGTGAATCAATAATTTAAACCTGAAGCTTTCATTTCAATTAAAAAAAGTTTAACATTTGAAGCCACTGCGTCCTTTCTTTCTCTTTATGTTGCTTTCCCTTTTCTGAGTGAATACATTGTCCACAACTTCTGTTTTGCAGCTTGCTCTGGATGTCAATGTGTGGCCACTTGTTGCCTTCACTCCAGACTACATTCACCACCATCCCCCCACACACTGGTGTAAACCTCTCATGGCTGGTTTCAGAACAGTTTTTGAGTCCCGTACAGTTGCATCCCTACTCCAAATCCCACAGCTACTACCTCACTCATGCATCCCCAGCCCTTCTCAGACTGCCTTCACTAAAGCCCCTCACATAGCCCTATCACACCCCAGGGATAATTTCTCTCGTATTACATCCATGGTTACAGAACATTGACTTTGAGTTCCCTCTAAATGTACAAACTTGACTTAAGTCTGGTTGATTCTACAAAGGCTGGCACGGAGTTGCATGACACAAACAAATATACAACTCAGCTGTAGCATTTCTCCAGCTTAACAAGCCACATTCACATTCTGCGGGAAACAGTAGCACTCACTGTGGAGCGTAAAATGGGGTCTGAGCGAAACGAGCATGTGGTTTAGAGCATGGTCGTGTTTTTACGCACCACTCAACTTTACGCACGATAACGTTTGTGCATCCCCTGGAAACCATCAAACCAGGGGCACAGATTCTAGAAAGTAATTAATTACGAACTGTTAAACATTTGCATGCAGCTACGTAGCATAATGCAACATTGTAAGAGGAGCTCTTTACCTTGAGGACCCTGCGCGAGCGCATGAAGCAGTGATCGAAGACAGTGACCGCTTTAAAGTATAAATATTGGAACTAGGAAGAAAGCAAAGCAGCGTCCACACAGTAGGTCCGCAGAGTTCTGTCTCTATACAGGTGGTGGAGGAATTTAAAGGTTTCGGGTTGCTGTGTTACGCGTTCAGATGGAGGAGGGCATCCAGAGGCAAAACAAGCAGCCCCGCCCGCTCATTACCATTACAGTTGTGCAATAGCCATTACCCTCCATCTGTATTAGTGACCATGATGACACATGGGCAACTGCCTGACAATCAGCATCAAATTCATCATCATTTCACACGGATTAAATGGCTAAGAGTTGGGTCGATGTGACAGGCAATCAGCAATTTTGGAGAAGAATGCAGACAGCTCATCCATTAAAGCTTACAAAAGTAAACTTGGCATCATGAAATAAGTTCAAATAGAGGTACCTTTCAGTCTATAGAAGAGTTATCAAACTTATCAAAATTCTTAAATTAAAAAACATTGGAAATAATGCCACAGCTTTAAAATAATTGCAAGGAGACACAAGTCACTTCAATGGGTAGTTTATTCACAGGCAAATAAAATGCTAAAACAAACTTCTTACAAATCTGAATACAAACTTCTCAGCTGTGGGGGGGGGGGGGTA